TCTGGAGCTTAAATAATAAAATGACACTTTAAGGGTGCGTAACTCTAAATTTAAATTGTTAAATAAGTTTACACATGCAGTTAAGGGATTTAAATAGTAGTCCACATGCAAATTACGTTTTACTAACCAACCAAATTTACAATATCTTGTTGTTAAAATGAAGTGTATCAAAGAGTAATCCAACAGAACTTATACGCTTATTAAAGTCTATATAATAGACTTATCACGTAAACTTAAGAGTTTATAAATTGCGGATGGCTGCAAACCTTTAGACTTACAATGAAAGGATTTTTCCAGCTACTTAATTTTGCAACACTTTCCAGTTATATTCATTTTTCCCCAATATACTGAATAGTAATATATTCAAAAGTTTGCAAAAATGTACGGTGGCATCGGGTGTTCCGCATACTTCACCTCTTACATTGCCTTCTATTTCTTACAATAAAAGGTCTCGGGCTAGAAAATTGTAATCTAAATCTAAAGCAAAATCTTAATGATTCGCTTATAAAATACCTCTTTGATCTATCAGTTATAAAATTACATCATTTGCTGAAACTATAGTTTACATTGGTCCACAACAGGAAATTGGCTCGAAAATAGCTAGTCATTCATTTTACACTACCCAAGGGACCCGTTTACCTTAAGGACCTTTTGATACAGGTGCGAACAAATTCGTCCCACGATAACACTTTAGTGCACCCTTTCAAGCACTAAAAACCATCAAGAATCTTTCATGGTTAGTTACAGAATGATTATTTATAAAATGACATTTCAATTGTTTGTTATAAACCGATGTCTGCATGTTATGATAACATTAAAGACTTTTTTCCATAAATACAGTACAATAACATTACCCGGTGACCGTGAATACGGATGATTGATGATTGAATGGCTCTTTTTTAGATTGACACGAATACTATTGTTAGCTACAACTTATTTATATTTTGATAAAAAAAAACGCTATATAAAATTTGTTTATCGTCCTTTACAAATTACAGTATAATTATTTCAATTCTGAAAACTTAAGGTATTAAACCTTTGTATAGTGAACACAGTACTGATATTAGCAACATAAATATTTAAAACGTCACAACAACTCGAACTGACAGTTAACTGTTCTCGTAGTTACAGTTACATCTCTATTGAAATTGCTAAGCTTTATTGCAAGCAGAGTTTATAGCCACGTATGGACTGTAACGATAAAGTGTAACCCAATTTATGTTGTTTGAAGAGTTGTATACATTTCCAACACTACAGACAAGTTAAAATGAGTTAAGTTAAACTAAAATACTATACAAGTACTGTGGGACAACGTTTTGGCATTAGTGAGAAATAGCTGACTGTAATAGTTTAATTTATTTAGATGTTAAACTAACAATATTAATACGACGCAACTAGTTATTTTTATGGGTGTATACACATTAGATATACATGTTCAGATGTTTGTAACATCCCGGGTCAAAAAAATGGTAGTTCAATACCACTCGGTGACTCGGTATCCATGGGAAAAAAACAATTTGTTATCTAGAATACTCAGGAGATGGACTATTTCTTGTGTTCTATGATAATAGATTGTAGGCATATATTGTTTTAGAAGCTGTAGTGTGTTTTTTGAATCACTAAGAATGCAAATGTTCTCACTCTCTAAACATATGCAGTGGGCAGCTGCTGCATTTATGGCAAGAAGCGTTTCGGTGCTTGAGCATGCATTTGGTGGAACAAAAAAGAGGGGTTGGAGTGTTCTGCGAAATAGCCGGCTCCAGATTTTGGTTCCGTGGGGTCTAAAGACCCATCAGTGTAGAGCTTGTAACTGTTGTTGTAGTTTGTGTTTGATTATTTCTAAGGCCGCAGCTCTTTGTATATCTGCAGGGTCTTTTTTTGACGTGGATCCTGGAAGGTCTAGTTCAATTTTCGAGGGTTGAAAGCAACAAGGTGGGATTCTGTTGATTGTTGGGTATGGCATTGGATGAATGTTTGGTGTATTTTGTTTTAAAGACAAAATATGACTTGTGATAAGTCTCTTGCGGGCTTTGTCTTAGAGCTGGATTTGATGAGGGGTCTGCAGAAATACTGAGGGACTGTGTGCTTTTTGTATGCGTATGTCATACACCTCTGTTGAATGTCATACAAACAGTACCTCAATAGTGCAAATAATACCCTAAGGAGAATAATGTAATCAAGTAAAATATAAAGAACCATTCAAATATAATAATAAAACTATGTGACTCAATGCTCTTTAATTGTATTGTTTTAAATCACTTTTTTTCTTCACATTTTTCCAAAGTAAACCTAAAATTTAAACCTGGATACGATTGATGTTCACAGACTATTGCTTTGTTGAGTTATATATAATGATTTTAATGTATTTTAATTCAAGTTTGTGTACTGAAACTGTGCACACGAAAAACTGTACCCATACATGTATATAATACACATTTCAAGTATATGATTATAACACCCTAACTGATACACCACAAACGGTTACCTTACCCATTTAATCATCATTTCATTCTTTGGTTTCTTCACATATACATTTTCATTTAATTACGATTTTGTTCATGTAAAACAAACGTTTATGTTGCTAAACAGCAGCCAATGATGTGAGCGATTGCCTATGAATAATTCATGAACCCTGATTCCCCAATGTCTGCCTGATTGAATGTGGATCCCTTAATGAAGTCAATACAACTTTGCTTGGATAAACCTGAGAAATTGGTTGATAAGGATTACCATTAAACGAAGCTGAAATAATATTTGATTCAATAACAATAATTTTCAAAAAATTAGTGAGAATATATTAATTGATAAATCTATCGTGATTGGTATACATTTAATCATCTTTTAATCTACTACGTATTTTTAATTTAAACACGAAATATTTAAAGTTGTGTAGATAGGGTGGTTTTTATATTGCGTAAATTAATCTGATATAGAGTATTTACATACATTTATTTTAATTTTAACTTTCTTTTACGGACAATCTTCAACTGAAATCATTTGGAGGTCAATTACCAAGATTTATTGCATTACTTTTGGGATTACTACATTTTAAAAGTCTCCATAAGGAACAAAATACTAGATTATTAAAATATATTCTGCATCCTTTTATGGATAAACTGTCTATTTGATATTACCATTGACTATATATACCTATATATATATATAGTCAATGATATTACGTTAATCGTTTATCTACAGTTAAACATTTAAAGGTAATTCAACAAATAACTACTTGCAGCGAAGGTACTTTTAGTGTTCTGTGTCACATTTTTCTGTAACGAAGGACTTTTAATATCATATTTGTCTTCATACTAATATCCATGGGTAGGTGCACACGGATATTACTTTCAACCCCTAATGTCCCCTAAATATTGTCCTTGTGATGTGCATAACATGCCTACCAAAAATATTATTATACTATTATTTTCTAAATAATGTTAATTCTTAATTTGAAATAACTGGAAATGTATACAAGTAAACAATTAATTAAAAGTTAAAGAAAAACTATACGATTCCATCATTGCTAATTGTGGCGATACAGTAATGTATTGATGATATTGTATTTTGAACCTGTAAAACTGTAATTGCATCTACACATTTTGTCTTATGTATTTGTCTATAGGTTAAATATATATTTTTGGGTTCACATAAAACTGACTTGTAATTGAGTGGAAGCTAATTGACCAGCCAAATGGTTCAAGAAATTGAATAACTCTCGTGTTAATAGACAACATCTTTTTTGGATGTAGTTAGGTTTGTTTCCTACAAAGTTACACTAAAAATATACACCATTGATGCACTCTTACAGATACCCCGTCCTAAATGATTAGCTAAAGGCAGTTTATAAGGTATGGTTTTTTAATTTATTTAGGGGGAATATTTTCTTACCATACGTTTCTTGAAGGTCAATGAGCTTAAAAACTATAACTGAGTAAACTCAGTAATAGCACGAGGAGTCTTCTTGCAAATATCGAAGTATTAATTCAGTATGGACAGATCTAAAGGTTTCTGGCATTTTTTAAATTTAAATCTAACACTATAACTTTTTACCGTCGTAAATCTTTAAACAAAGTTCGGTTGATAAGTGGGCAGGAACAGAAACTAAGTCCGTTTATCACAGCATAATCTGATGGTAAACACGATTTACATGAAAAGCCGATTCGGAGGTGGATTTTACATCCACAGAGTTTCATTATTGACCTTTGTATTTGGTCATGCATATATGTTTCTTTTAGTTTGTATAAATAAATAAAGGCTTTGGTTGGAATTGTGCCACTTATAGTTAAATGGTTCCAAATTCACAATTCTTCATGACTAAATGATCAATTCATTATAAACCTTTTTATTTTGTAAATATCTTGTTTATTATAAGTTTTGGATCGCAGTACTCATAGAAGAGTAATTATACTTCTCTGTGCAGTACTTTTAAATTTAATCAGAAAATAATCGTAAGTAACACAAGCTATCTTTATTGATGTGGAATATACGGTAGAATGTTAAACTACACACAATAATATTTAAATAAATATGAGCGTTAGTTTTTACATTTTTACCATACATTTAATAAGTGTTGCTGAAAGATTTTGTTTCAACCTTCAAGAAGACATCAAATAGAACATTATCAACGAACTTGTAAAAAGTGGGTGTTGACACCAATTTCTAAATATTTTAATACTGTTTTATTAAGACTTACGCTATTATTTGAATGGACGTAAAACCGTTTAAGTTTAAGATTCTGCTGCACATAAAATCACTATTGAATACCTAGATGTATTTAATACATTACCTATATACACCATTATGATATTATGTTTATATGCTCTTTCCATCTTTCTTTTTATTTTGGTTCACACATTGCTAAGTAATACATTTCTTCTTTTTCAAAAAATCTTCAGCGGGATTGTAATTTGTAGTTTAAACAATCCTAAGATTAACAAGTAATTTAATCTATGTTAGATTATGGTGCCAAGGAAAGAGGTTGGTTTATATAGATGCTTTATCAAGTTAGTTTTCACTTTTAGTAGTAGGAGTTTATTTTACTATTATGAGGTTCAGATAAACGTCACAAGCTGTTAGTTTTCCTTCTTGAACTCCCTGTAGAGACGTTTCTCTGAAGTACAGGACACCCCCCAGTCGCCTACACCGTAGGGTCTGTGAGCCAGAGTACGCAGATGGTAGAGTCCTTCTATCTTCCTGAAACAAGAGATCGTATTTCACATAAATAACATTGTAGACTAAGAATGTAGTGCTTGAACATACACTAGTATACACATTAGTATGAATGGACTGTTACATCCACTATCACCACGAATGGTGAACACAGACCATACTATTCTGAGGTATAGTGAAACTTGGTTTTCCCTTTAGATTATTACAAAACATTTTACATAGATATGTTTATATTGGAGATAAGCTGGAAAAATCCATAGTATCTCACAAACCTTAAGCATACACACACACACACACACACACACACACACACACACTCTTCCTAATTAAGAAATGTGCTGAATCAACTTTGCACGCCTCTAATTTGACAAGTAAGTATTGGTATCAAAATCAATACATGAAATGATTTTCTAGTAAGAAAGATTATGTAAGAGTGAATTTAATAATAGCACATGTCTGATTTAACTTTTAAGGATGAAAACCTTTACCTAATAAACCCGCAATACACTTACAGGTCCTGGACCAACGGGTATCTTATAACTGTCTTGTCATTCCCATCGCACAAACAGTCCTTCATGCTGTTCCATGCTGAACATTTAAGTCCGACGAATTTTGATGGGTACAAAATGACGTACCAGAACCTCTGGACTACTTTCAAGTGGCTACAAACGTGGGCTAAAACAAAAGATCATAGTGAAGATATTGTAGGTAAATGTACATGTAACGTTTTTTATTTATCATAACTTATTCATATTGAACTGTACTGATCTATGTGATATGCTTAATGTGGGGACGAATAAAAAATTATTAAACTAGATGGGTTTTCAAATAAAGAAAATTTATTTCTCGATCCCTGGCTGATATGGGGCCGTATAAAATAAGTTATTGATATTCCTGGAAATGAAATAAGAATGAATGTGTCGTGCAGATGCTCAAGTAGTCACAACGTATGACATCCTTCTTTGAGACATCAGCTCAAATCTCGCTGATCACCAATAGCCTAGATATTATTTTTAACACTATTATTTTGTGGCGTGGTTCTTTATAACGTTCCATTTTCCTTCCAAGAAAACATAAAATTAGAATGAATGTGTCGTGCAGATGCTCTAGTAGTCACAACGTATGACATCCTTCTTTGAGACATCAGCTCAAATCTCGCTGATCACCAATAGCCTAGATATTATTTTTAACACAATTATTTTGTGGCGTGGTTATTTATAACGTTCCATTTTCCTTCTAAGAAAACATAAAATTAGAATGAATGTGTCGTGCAGATGCTCTAGTAGTCACAACGTATGACATCCTTCTTTGAGACATCAGCTCAAATCTCGCTGATCACCAATAGCCTAGATATTATTTTTAACACTATTATTTTGTGGCGTGGTTCTTTATAACGTTCCATTTTCCTTCCAAGAAAACATAATATTAGAATGAATGTGTCGTGCAGATGCTCTAGTAGTCACAACGTATGACATCCTTCTTTGAGACATCAGCTCAAATCTAGCTGATCACCAATAACCTATATATTATTTTTAACACAATTATTTTGTGGCGTGGTTATTTATAACGTTCCATTTTCCTTCTAAGAAAACATAAAATTAGAATGAATGTGTCGTGCAGATGCTCTAGTAGTCACAACGTATGACATCCTTCTTTGAGACATCAGCTCAAATCTAGCTGATCACCAATAACCTAGATATTATTTTTAACACTATTATTTTGTGGCGTGGTTATTTATAACGTTCCATTTTCCTTCTAAGAAAACATAAAATTAGAATGAATGTGTCTCGTGCAGATGCTCTAGTAGTCACAACGTATCCTTCTTTGAGACATCAGCTCAAATCTAGCTGATCACCAATAACCTAGATATTATTTTTAACACTATTATTTTGTGGCGTGGTTATTTATAAGGTTCCATTTTCCTTCCAAGAAAACATAAAATTAGAATGAATGTGTCGTGCAGATGCTCTAGTAGTCACAACGTATGACATCCTTCTTTGAGACGTCAGCTCAAATCTAGCTGATCACCAATAACCTATATATTATTTTTAACACTATTATTTTGTGGCGTGGTTCTTTATAACGTTCCATTTTCCTTCCAAGAAAACATAAAATTAGAATGAATGTGTCGTGCAGATGCTCTAGTAGTCATAGCGTGCGACATCCTTCTTTGAGACATCAGCTCAAATCTCGCTGATCACCAATAACCTAGATATTATTTTTTACACAATTATTTTGTGGCGTGGTTCTTTAAAACGTTCCATCATTTTCCTTCCAAGAAAATATAGAATTGGGCCTCCACCCAAGAAGGAATCAAATGTATCACAAATTTGCCTAAATTATCCTGATTTGGAACGGTAAACCGATCACACTTAGCACTTATTTACTGCAGAATAATAAATAATTCTTAAATTGAACAAAACATTACAATACTTAATTGTAATTTTCTACTGTACATCCTTGATTAATCATAAACAAGTAACTAATAAAAAAAAAATCTTTAACACGTATTTATCTATATCTATACTTAAAAATATTATGTACACAGCTGATATTCCTAACGTTCTTTGATACCGTTTTCCAATACACCTGGAGAGCGGCATTCTGGTTGTATTATTCCATTGTTGAAGACAAAGTCAGCTGTTCCAAGTCTCCGTCTTGTCCCCGCCTTTTGAGAATTCGTATGGAAGATATGGACCAAGTGAGCATCATTCTGCGATACGTGGATCATATCTTTGTCAGACTCCGAGTAGAATGGATCAAGGGCTGCCAAGGTCAAAAATATTACTCATCAAGTAAATCAATTGAAATATATGCAAGTAAGCCGAGTTTATTATTTTAAAATAGTACAGTTTTTCCATACATCAAATAACTACTTGCGAGCCACTTTTTATGATATCCCTAAAAGAAGATTGCAAAAAGTACAATTGAAGATAGCAGAAAACAAGTATTTAAATACAGTATAGTTCATAACTAATCTTTCAAATAAATATGGATTATTATGGTGTATTCAAAGTCGATTTGATCATAATTACAGACATTCTATAAAACAAATGATTTTAAAGAGGTTTGTGGCTTTGTTTAAACTTACATTCTGCCATTTACATTGGTCTCCGACCCCTACATGGAACGCAATAACCAGAGCTTAGGGTGAGTTGGTATAGAGCCAGAGTTAACTGTACTGATCAAAGTTGCAGGTCCCAGGATTCGAACCCAAAACATCACTGCCATGAGTCAACAATATGTGAATTACCCATAGAGCAACTGATTCGCTTACTGATCTACATACTACAGGTATTACACTTAAAACTAAATGATCAAAGAGTACAGTGTAATTGAGTTTTATAATTAGAATAAATAGAATTATGTAAAAAGTCCTCAGAATTTCTATGTTTTTCTCCCATGAGAATAGTAGAAATAAAACCTCACAAATGATCTGAGAAACTGTTTGGAAAATATTTTTTTATAAGAACTTCAATCGATAATAAAAACAAAAAAGGGAATAGATATTGATTACATTTAAAGTACAAAAGGACTTACAAACAACAGAATTGATTTTCTTGCTGTATTTGTTGTTGAGGTGCCGAGCCATGTATCCTACCAGTTGACCGGAGTAACTCCAGCCTAGTAGATTTATCTGTTCTGGTCTGATGTATCCTTTATCCACACCGTCTACTAGAAACCTTGCCACTGCCTTTCCCATTGGCTAGGGTGAAAAAAGGTTGTCATTATAATACAGTATATCAATATAGTTTTTTATATCCCACCTTCACATCCTAGGACGCTAGGTTCTAGCCCGGGATACATTACTATAGTTTTACACATTATTAACAAATTACTTTTACACATTGCTAGTAATACAGGGTTGCGCCATTATTACATAGATAAGCGGAATTATCCCTTGGTAATTGGCAGTATTTGAACCCGGGAGCTCGGGCTCCGAAGCCACGCTCTCCCACTAGACTTCGCTCTCTAATACCAATATAGTAAGAAATATTCACTTACGAATTTGCAAGGTTTTCAAACGACATCTCTTTGCATCAATAAATTACACTTCCTGTCCAGTTATAAAGTCTTTCTTATAAATAATTCAAAAACTTTGTAGACCTACCTCGAAATGTGCCCGCTTGCCAATAGAGCTCAAGAATACAGAAAACATCATGTGAGGATTGTTCCAGGGCATGTCGGTAGCGAAGATGTTGTACTTCTTGTGTAGGTTCCGCATAGCCAGGGCTGGAAAATTAAAGTAAACAACAGTAAAACTTGTTCACTAGCCTTAATAAGTTTAGTAAACCCGTATGGATAAACCTTAGATTCACGTGAGTACGTAATATACAACTGAAAATACAATTCAATGAAACATTAAACACCCAAATCCTCGTGATGTGATCTTAATATGTTAATATGTTAGTATGTTTATAGATTTACTCTCGTACAGTTTAAACATATATCAATTGCATTGGTCAGTAACAACTGAAGGCCTTGAAAACACACAAATACCTGCAGTAATTTGTCTTCTCACCGGTAACTGTAGTCTTGACAAAATTCGTGTCAGCTGAGGAGAAGATTGGGTGAACTATGACGATTGACTCCTGATCTTTCTTGAAGTGATCACTTTTGAACAGCGATTCTGCATCGGTGACTTTGGCACTCTCGTATGTCCATGAGGACTTGAACAAAGCATTGAATGCTGTGTCGACGTCCCAGCGATATTCATCCATGGCATCTTCGGTGGCTGCCGAGGGACCAAGAGGCTTCCAGTCCCTCCTATCAAAATAAATTAATTCGGACTCATTTGTACAAAATAACAGTTTATACCTGCATTCTAAGCATACTATTCACTCTTAAACACTTAATGGTAAATTGACGAGAACTTATAATACTTACTTCAATAGTCTAATAGAAATATTCTTTACTAGTTTTTGTTCCTTGTATAATCTTTCTGAACTAAATAATGAAGTACTGGGGCTGACTACTGCCAAACCTGTGAATACAATACATTTAGGGTTAATACTACAATATAATTGAACTCACAAACTATTAACTATACAATATTTGAGTAGTTTTTTATAAAGCTTACCGTCAAGTGATTTTCCTATGGAATACACAAAAAAGTAAATTCAATCATTGAGCGACTTAATTGAAATACAAACTTCGATTGATAATTGAATTAATATTTACATTCATATCATATCATGATTGTCATTTAATCCTTATATTACTCAATATAACGGTTAGTCAAGTTTGTTCATCAGCTCCTTAAATAAATAAAAATTTTACTAGTGATAGGTTTTTTTATTGTAACTTATTCAAAAGCATTTAGAATACATTTTCAAAATTATATGTGTATTTTGCATTAATTTCTTTTTAAATTATTACCGATTTTTAAGTACATCCCTTCTTTTTAGTAAGCTAAAATAAAACGAGTGTTTTTCCTAGGTAAGTTGAAATGTATACCTACAGCAGAGCAAAAGCGTCGAGAGCGTAGTCCGCATCACTGAACATACGGTAATGTGGTAATAGCTTTAATTATCATCGATTTGCAATTGAAAATGACACCGGCAGACACGAAATGGCTTCTGTGTAGTATTTCTACATCATTGGTGTAGAAATATTTTGTAGAAATTTACTAAGCTTTTTTTAAAACAAATATTTTAAATATTTAGGCGTTATCGGTTCTTAAGCTAATATTAGCTGCCTGTATTCAATGTCTTATAAAAATTATTAGTTTTAATAGTTTGTAGGGTACCAAAAGAATACAACAGATAGCAAAAGTAGTTTAACCTAGAAATAATTTAATGTAAATTTTTTGGTAGCAAGTAAATTGCATATTCATACACATAGATCAATACGTTACTTATTTTAAACCAATCAAAAGAAATATACGTGTTGTTGCAACTTGATGTTGTAATCATGCCATTTTTCAGCAAAATTAGAAAAGGGTCGTTACACTCAGACTATTGTTCCTCACGTTATATAGCCACATTAAAATTTTATCTTAGAAATTCTAGTTATAGGTAAGCTTTAAGCAGAACAAGGTATTTTTTGGCCTTAAAAACTATTGTGTCCCATTTGCATTATTTAAACAAGCTGAAAAATAAATACGTCACAGATTTTAAATCCATAGAAAATTAAGTTTTTATTAGTAAATGATTGTTTCAAACCCCATCTTAATACATATCCTATAATTTTTAATTAATTAATTACTGTAACAAGCTAGCATACTTTGTGCTCAACCATATTTTTTTAAGTATTTATTCAGCTGAGTAAGTCATATCCAAAAAAGATAAAATAAGAATGTATTTTCTCACACACAACAATTAATGCTACTAAAAAAAACTGTCGTATACAATGGCATTTGTTGGGATAACCGATCATTTTATCAAGTTTTCTACTCTATCGGGACCATACTTATTCCGAGCCACTACACCCATATTATAAACTAAAAAAAATATGTCTAGTACTTTAACCAAAGTTTATGGTAGTTATCTTACTGGTTATCTTGCAGCTATCTTACTGAGTTCCTTAATCCCCAAGCCTTTAATTTTGAAAATCTTTCCTAAAAATAATATATTTTTATCAAATAGCAAAAACATGTTTCAGTGAGCTGCTTGTGCGTATCCTGAGGTAAAAGAGGTTAATTAAAGGATACAAGCCTTTTTAATTATAAGCCAAGTAGAGGAGTAGCCAACTCCCTTTGCCAACTAATTTGAACCTTATTTTCCCTCTCCCTAGCTTGTGGGTACCGTAACTTAAATCATACAAAGAAAAGTGAAAAATTAGTGGTAATAAAGGATTTTATAAAGACAATTTCTACCTTAATAATCGAATTCCAATAAAGACTATAACGTCCTCCAAAATTAATTAAAATAATACTTTTTAACAGAGTCTAGGATAATATAGACAGCTTATAAGCCTGTTTTCCCTAACGCTGATTCTATAAAGGTCAGAAACAAAATAGCTACCTCTATTTTAAAATTGCCATGATTTCTTTTAGCATTTTTCGTATTTTACTCTAATTTTAACCTCAGTTGTAGTGATTTTAATTTTAAAATGAATATTGTTGTTTATCTGTTTATTCTTTTATAGAGCGAAATAGATCGATGACAAACAGTTAGATAATTGATTTTCGGATCTATTGATGGCATTCGCCTGATCAAATCACCTTGGATAAACGATTTTTTGGCGTAGAACCGCCCAGTACATCCTTCTACCAAGATTCTGAAACAAAGCACTTTTGTTAAATCATTCATGTTAAAGAAACAATCCATTTTACGATGGTATTGTAGTTATTAAACAAGTAAGAATTTGTTAAACCAAAATAGCTGTTGTATTAATTACATTTTATATGTAACTGATATAACTATTTACGTGTTAACATAATAATTTAGATGGATTTATTATAAACATTTCAAGAAATAGACAGAACGGTTTAAGATTTAATTGACTATTGTTTTTAAGCTTAACTTCATTATTATATTATTTTGAAAACTGGACATTATTATGATAAACTTTTCCTATTAGACACAGTAAAAAAAAAAAAAAAAAACTTAAATGTATGATATGATTAACTTAGATTAATAACATAGTCTATATAAATGATTTTGAATGATTTTACATGATCCTTTTAACACTTTTATGACTATTTCATTTTTTACTTTTGATGGAAGATTATTTTTTTTTATTCGTCAAATATTTTGTAATAGTCCCTCTTGCACCAATCATTATGCCAATTACTGATATAGAATTTAGATTATATTTGTTTCTTAAATAAGTTTCTATATAAAAGTAAGTTAAAAATTAAAATAATAATACATTTTTTTCTATATCAAAATAAATTAATATTTCTTGATTACTTCAAGCAAGACCCAACACAAAGTTAATGGAAACATAAATATTCAAAATGTGTAGGCGTTCCATTTTATATTTCCCGAGACGCAACTAAATGAGCAAGGTAGGCGTTGATTAATGAATTTAAAGTTTTAATCTAAAGGCTTAAGACGAGGGCTATAATTGATTTGAAGATTTTCCACGCAAATAAAAAGAATTAAAAGTCTTAAAGCCCAACACGAAAAACAAATAAATTACACTAACTGAATTGTTTTAACGCACGTCCTTCAATATAACGTTATTACATCATTTATAATTAATAAAAATGTATATAAGGAGCAAATATTACATTAGTTTAAAATTACGTAACCGTAAAAAATTGATGATAATATTGGTTAGTCATGTTGATATTTCGTTAATAATATTGTGATAAATGGTTTGTGGAAAATAATTAAATGTTTAATAATATTATAAGTGTAATTCAAGTTTTTATGTCAGATTTCATTTATTATTCATTCATTATTTTTATACAGTTATAGTTTTATACAAACATTAAAAGCTATTATATCTTACGATTTTTAGACTTACTTAAACTTTAAACTTCATTCAATGCTGACATTGTACAGCAGAATTTGTTTGTTGTTTGATCAACAGATGACGTATATGACATAGAAGTTTCATTAAAGGATCTAAAAAAAAGCGATTGAAGATTAGAGGATTCGTGGGAATTTAAGCTAAATTCTCGTATAGTGAATGAACTAATATGAATCTAGAGGTTAAAATACATTTAATTCGTCAATGCGATCAAATGTCACCGATGAGCTGCGACCGGTTTCAGCCCAGCTGTGGGGCCATCTTCAGGCGATGAAGGAACATAAATATAATTCCGAAGAGGTCGTTCATCGCCACAGCTAGGCTGAAACCGGTCGCCGCTCATCGGTGACATTTGATCACATTGACGGATCAAATGTATTTTAACCTCTAGATTAATTTAAATTTGTGATCAGGAGGCAAAAACAACAGAAATGAAGAACTAATATTGTACATTATTACCATTATTTGACATAATGTTTAGTAAGGTTTTATTGAAAGATCTCATATTGCATTCAGTTGCAAAACTTACAGTTAGTGTATTACAAAACTTATAATATGATAGGAAATGTCATTAATGCATTGAACTGTTTGATGAACAGCTATCTACAAGTAGAGTAGTTTGGTAGAAATTTATTCTTTTTATATTTTAAGGCAAAGTAATTTGTTACTCTATATTATAAATGCAAATGGCGCAAAAATAACTTGTGTTTATTTTAAGATTGTTTATATGTCGTACTCTTTGTGATCAATCTTACGTAAAATAAGATGAATTTTTTTTTTTTGCTCAGGAGCTATAACTCTCCTAATCCAAGCTGACAGAAGTCATAAACTGTACAGATAGAGGAAGACTGAAACTGAGATAAACAACATCAGCTGATTGAAGGATTTCGGATATTTTCTTATCTACTATACAACGTTGCAATAATATACTAAGCAAACAAAGCCCATGTTTGCCTATATGTATAGGTACATATGTAACATGTACTGTATATGTATACATATGTATAATATGTATACATAAAATACCTTTTTGCTGTACCTAGCTAATATCTCTTAGTGTAAAATAAATTTGTAAAGAGCCATATCTATTTTGGTTTATAAAATATAAGGTAAAAGTTCAAGTGAACGGTAGGTTGCTATGATTATCAACATACATACTATTAATAACATGATTAATTAATATGAAAGGATTTTACTCTCATAAAATAAGATGAACAGTTGTGGACTAAATTAAAATTTGTCTACTGTATTAGAATGCTATTAATTCCTACAATATAGCTTACAACAACAGTTTATATCAGAAAGAGGAGAAACTAGAAGTCTTTCTCTCAATACCCCAAAAGTGACGACCAATGATCAATATAAAAACTTAATTAATAAGAGTCATAGTTTAATAAACAAATGCATAAAGTTGTTTACAATGACTTGTTCTGATAAAGTAGTATGTTTTTTTTGTTTTTTTTTTATACTTGCCCAAATTATTACATTTCAATACAAAAAATATTTGCATAAAAAGGAAAAGTAAATAGGCCTGCACTTAAAAATCATAATAAACACTTTTTTGAAATAAGTTGTCATTTTCCAACATACAGGTACGTTAATATTTTGAAACCAAATTAAGATATCACGTGGTCTTGACGGGTGTCAAAAGTTTGGGTTGTTGAGTAAATTATATATCATTTAAACCTGTCAATCAATTTACGGAAGCGTTGTGAGGCTACAATTGATAGTAGTGAAAATAATATTAAAGAAAATACTTTGTTAATAAATAACTAATGTTTGAATAAATTAAATAATACATTCTAGTTCTATGAATACGGTTATAACTCTACATATAATACAAATGGTGTAGTATAATAATATTCTATTTATTTTCTAAAGATGCGAAGTAATCGTATCCCTCTCACTGACAACCTCATCACAAAATAATATTATCTAACACACAAAGGAGGGAGATTACAGATTAATCAGCCCGCAAGGCAGAGTATGAACATTCTCAAAGGTCTGATTTAGTCACTACACAATAGTGTGGGTCGGATGTAATTTAGAGTCAGTTAAAAAAAATTAAAAAAAACATGATCGGTTAGCCTGTGTAAATGATTTGTATTTAACCACAATTTATACCAAAACACT